ATGACAATGACCGCTGTGAACCGTGCATTCGGTTGCCACCAGGTCCCTTTTCACTTCCTCTGCGCACAGGTTGTTTCAGATGCCTGCGTGTCATCTGCTGTCAGTCTGAAAGCCCCCGAGGCTGGACCCTTCCTTCCCTCTTCACGTGTCCTACTTGGAAAGACCGCAGGAATCCGCAACCACACAACAAGGACTTCTTGCCGTATCTTGGATTGCTTCCATGCCATTTTACAATCATTTCACGATTTCCTTGCTATTTGCAATGATATGTTTGCCATGGAATGTTTAACTTCTCTAGTGTCTGCCTCCCCTGCAAACACAGAGACAGCCCGACCCCCTGACTACCTGCTAACTTCCTTCTCCCTTGCACGCTGAACCCTTGTTGTCGGCAGCCCCAGGTGATGAACAGTGACCAGATTAACAGTGAAGATTCTGAGGTAGCCACAGGCCTGGCCCTCCAGTGATGGTAAGGGAGGATCTGCTGGGGATTCCGGGGAAGCTTTTGCTCTCCTGCTAAAAGGAACAAGAGAGACTGGTGCCATCTCTTTCTCCTGTTTCCTGTCTTGACTGAGATTCCTGGACATCCTCGAGATTCCTGGACATCTCCTGTGCCCATGAGGCAGAAGCCCCAGGCATTCAGGACAGTGACCAGGCCCTGCCCTATCCCAGGCTGCCTTCTTGCTCTATGAGGGCAAGAAGTTTGCTTTTCTCTCTGCTGTTTCCAGCTCCTAGAACAGCGCCTGGTATGTGGTGGCCATTCAATCATCCTTTGTAGATTGAGGGAAGGTCTACATCGCTTAGGCCACTGTTAGCAGGGAGTTCTGTTCCTTACAACTGAACATATGCCTAACTCAGTGACTGTGAAAAACAATAACAGTGTGTGCTAAGATTACAAATGGCGTCAACTGGGTAGAATCACAAAGTAAGGTACCATCCTAAAATCTGAAGAGAGATGCTGTCATGAGCCACCTGGCTTCCTGAGCCCTCAGTCCTTCTCTGCCCAGAGCTGGAGCCACTTGCCCCGTGTCCCCTCCAGTTTGCACTGGCACCAGTGTTCCTCAGGGGACTGGCAGAATGGCCCATTTTCCTGTGAGTCCACGTTTCATAGTACAGGTCCTCCCCTTCTGGCCTTGCCCTGACTCCCTGAGCTGAGGATTCAAGCACAACCCAGATCTTCCCAGGCAGGAGAGCTTCAAAGCCCCACCAAACACAGGAAGGGAGAAAAGCAAAGCAGGGAAAACCCCGGAGTCATTCCTGCCCATGGCTACAGCCTTGCTTTATCCCAGGTGTGAGCTATTAACCTGCTCATTGCCAACCAATTAGCTCTGGTCTGGGCTATGCTTCCCTAGCTTAAGTCTCTGCTCCTCATCAGCCACACAGAGGGGCCCTTATAACCCCTGTCCATTGGGGTGATACGGTTCTTGGGGGAGACCTCAAAGGGTCTTCTATAAACAGGTCGTACACGTCTTTCTGAGCCCCCTCCAATGGGTGCTGAAGAGGAAGTTCCCCCCCACCCCAGAGACTCCACAATCAGGGGTATTTATATGCTGCCGTTTGCAAGTTACGTTTTCACCAAACAGAATGAAGACCATGAAATGACCAGCTTTCCTGAGGTCCCTGCTGCGGGTGTAGAATCTGACTCGGCAAGATCTCCTTTGAGACCCATTATGTTTATGTCCAGCTGATATCGAACTCCCACTCTACACGCTCCTATTTTATTGCGACGTTGCTATCAGTGCCCCCGACTCCCAACCCCAGCCATTCTCTGAACTGTCACCAGCGCTTTTCTTTAAAATCCAGCTCAAGACTCTCTTCCTGTAGGAGTGTCCCTAACCCTAACCCAACCCCAATGATCCCATCACTAAACAGTCTGTTTGCATCACACTTCCAAGCACACACTTGTGTGTGGATTAGTAAATGTCTAGAATCTTTAGTTGCCTTTGTACAATCTTCTTGCTCAAACTAAGTTCCTGAAGGCAATGGCGGGCAGTTCCGCTGTCTCTGTCCTAATGAGAGCTCATGATTTGGTACATAGTGAAAGCTCAAAAATATTGCTGGGCTGGGCGTGGTGATTCACTCCTGTAATTCCAGCACTTTGAAAGGCCAAGGTGGGTGGATCAGAGGTCAGGAGTTCGAGACCAGCCTGGCCAATATGGTGAAGCCCTGTCTCTACTAAAAACAGAAAAAATTAGCTGGTCGTGGTAGCACATGCCTGTAGTCCCAGCTGCTCTGGAGGCTAAGGCAGGAGAATTGCTTGAACCCAGGAGGTGGAGGTTGCAGTAAGCCAAGATCACGCCACTGCACTCCAGCCTGGGTGATGGAGCAAGACTCCATATATGTGTGTGTGTGTGTGTGTGTATACACACACACTATGTATATATGTATATATGTATACACACACACACACACACATACATATATATATATATATATAGAGAGAGAGAGAGAGACAGAGAGAGAGAGAGAGAGAGCTTTTTCAATAATCTGTTGCTTTGTAATATACCTTTCCAAAAGTGAATGGCTTAAGACAACCATTCTATCATCTCTCATGGGATCAGCTGGGCGGGTCTTCTGTTCCACATGATAGCAGCTAGGCTGCAGCCATCTGGGGACTGGCCTGGTCTGAAGTATTCAGGTTAGGTCATTCACTTGGCTGGTGCCTTGAGGGGGTGGATGGAGGCCTGGCTCAGTTGTGAAGCTGGGACAGCTGGGCCTCCCTGCCTCCCTCTCTTTCTCTATGTATATATTCTCAAGGTCTCTCCTTCTTCACAGTCCCCAAAGCACAAAAATATAAACTTTGGGGATTTTTAAAACTTAGACCACAAGCAGCTTAGCGTCACTTTCAACACACTTTATTGGTTAAAGCAAGTCACAGGCCAGCTCAGATTCAGTGTGGGAGGGGATCACACCAGGGCGGTGTGATTCGCTAGGGGATGTCTGATTCACTAGGGGACATCTTGGGATACTTGCCACCCCCTGACTGAATGCCCAATAGCATTATGGAGGCCAAGGTCTGGTTTTCATTAGTGCCAAGATTACTACAAAAAACCTCAGCTGTCTCTTCCTCAGACTGTTTTCATCAAGAACAAGAAGAACACACACACACACACACACACACACACACACACCCCTATACCACCTGGAAAAACACCACTCAACCTATAAAAATTATTAAAAATCTCTAAGAATGTGAAAATGTGCATGTTTTGAAGTAAAGATTAAACCTCACTTTAGCTGTCCATTTAAAAAAGATGTCTTAAATACAGTATTTCATTTGATCTTGATTCCCATCCCCATTTTAGAGATGAAGAAACTGAGGCTCCGAGGTGATAAGCAATTTACCCAAAATGGTGGAGCTAAGCCTGAATAACCCCAGGACTTGTCCCTGATGCCAAAAGGAATTATTAGACTATGAATTAGTGCGGTGGCTCATGCCTATAATCCAGCATTTTGGGAGGCCAAGGTGGGAGGATCACTTGAGCCCAGGAGTTTGAGACCAGCCCGGGAAGCATAGCAAGACCCCATCTCTACCAAAAAAAAAAATTTTTTTTTGAATAGGAATAAATGTTTTTAGTCTAAAGAAACTGAGATCCTGAAAGGTGATAGTCCAGGGTCCTTCAACCAGGATCCTGATTCCCCTTTAGAAGAGAACAGATGCACAAGGCCTGAAGCATAGTAGATGCTGAGTAAACACAAGCCCCTATGCCTCTTCTCCAAACTAGATTTCTTCCACAGCTCACTGTCCTTGGTCCAAAGAATGCAGCCACTCTACTGTGTTATTGGCAGGATGGTGGGCATGACTGATTTCCCTTCTGATGGGGTGGGAAGGCTGAAGGGTGAGTTTGGAAGGGCTCTGTTCCCTTCATCTCACTCCTTTCCCCACTCACATTTCACCCAACAGTCGTTTGGTTTTTGAGCAATCTGTTCCTGGAAAGCAGAGGAAAGTAACAGATTGATGCATCGGCTGCGCGTGGCCAAGTGATTTATTTTTAATGTGACTAAACAAGACACACACCTGCCTATGGAAATGTAATCACTTGGAATCATCAGGGACTCAGATAGCCATTTAGGCAAGGGAAAGACAGAAAGGAAACAGAGGAGAGGAGGGAAGAGAGGGGAAGGGAGAGAAATAAAAGGGAGGCAGGGGAGCAGAGACAGAAAAGAAGAGATTAGAAGGGCCTGGAAGAGAGGGAAGGGGAGAGAAGACTGGGCCAGCTCCCTAAAAACGTTGATTTCAGCAGCGTCAGTGAAGCACCCTCATCTGGCCCAAATGCCCCTGATTTAGGTTTGCTGATGCCTGAAATTTCATAATTAGACTTTCATCCCTATGATTTAACCAAATACGCTGCATGTTCTCCACTAAAGGTTAAATGCAGCAGAAGTAGTGTGTCAGACTACATCAATTATTTTCATCTCATTGAGAAAGAATGGATATCTTTTATGAAAGCAGGAGTTTTTCTGTGGGGGCAGTGGTATTAGTTCATTTTGCATTGCTGTAAAGGAATACCTGAGACTGGGTAATTTATAAAGAAAGGAGGTTTATTTAGCTCATGGCTCTGCAGGCTGGATAAGCATGGCACCAGCATCTGCTCAGCTTCTGGTGAGGCCTCAGGAAGGTTTTACTCACGGCAGAAGGCAAAGGGGGAACAGGCAGGTCACATGGCAGGAGAGAGAGCAAGACAGAGAGGAAGAGGTGCCAGGATCGTTTAAACAATCAGATCTCACTCTAATAGAGCAAAAACACACTCATTACCACAAGGAGGGCACCCAGCCATTCACGAGGGATCCACTCCCCGACCTAACACTTCCCACCAGGCCCCGCCTCCAACCCTGGGATCATACTCCAACATGAGATTTGGAGGGACAAAGATCCACACTATATCAGGCGGCATTAGAACAAAGTTTGTGGGAGTCACCAGTGAAAGCACAGAAAGAAACTTTGGGGGCTCTGGGGGCTTTCTCCTTCATGGCTTTTCTTAATTATAACACCTACCTTTAAGAGCAATTGTTCCGTCCAGGCACTATAGGTGCGACCCATTACATGTACTATTTCAATTCCATCTTCCCAGCAGCCCTGGAGTTCTGTGCTGGTGTCCTCGTCACTCTCCAGGCGAGGGAACTGAAGCCCAGCCTGTCGTCATGTGTCTCAGCCCTCTGAAAGGAAACTCCAGATACAGCGGAGTTTCTCATGGGACGCCCCTTCTGCAAGCCTCACCAACACTACCTTGCTTGCAGAAGGCACTCAGTAAGTATGTGCCAACAGAGTGAAGTGGCAGGGATGGGACATGAACAGTCTAACTCCATAGCATTTGCCACCATTTTCTCCCAGATAGTCCACTTCCTTCTCCCTGCTTCTCACCTGAATAGTATACGAAATTCATAAACCACTGACTTTGGGAGGGTAAATGTCCTCCATCACAGCTCCCTCCTCAATCTCCCTGGGTCAGCACCCGGAATTGGGCAGCCAGACTGCTCTGCTCCATACTGCTAGTTGTCTATTTCCAGATACCTCTTCCCAGTTAGGCTGTAATGCCTTTGAGGGAAGGCACAGCACCTTACAGAGCCTTTTGCGGGGAATGTATGAATACTTCTGAAAGCAACATATCTTTGTGTTTTCTATTAATACAGATTGTGGTAGGTTTTTTTTCTTGAATTTTATGTCAATATCTTTCACCCTGCCCCTAGCATTTGGTACAGTAGCACATGAAGGAGATTATAAAGTCATAAGTTGGGAGGGGGGCATCAGATTGATAACATTTCAAAGATTGATAATATCTAGTGTGGGCAAGGATGGGGGAAATGGATACTCATACATTGTTGGGGAGGCTTTCTAGGAGGCAAATCATCAATAAATAACAGTGGATGAAACAAGATAAAAGCTTTATTTTTTTTTTTTCTCATACAAAAGTCTAAGCTAGTAGAAAGTCCTGGGAAGAAGGCTGGCTCAGCTCCACAAGGTTACGCAGGGACCCAGGCTCTTTCTATATACATTGTACCACCATCCCCAATGGTGTTACCTGCATTGCCTGGTGGAAGCTGACTCCCACCACCACATCTGTTCTCTGAATAGATTTTTCCATGGGGAAAGCAGAAGTACAGCAAACAGCTTATTTTAAGGACCTGATTCAGAAATTGTACACAATATGTACTTCCCATTGGCCATAACTTAGTTACATGTCCCATGTAGCAGCAAGGGAGGTGGAAAATATATTCTCAACTCATACCCACCTGAAACTCAGGAGATTTGTTGCTAAAAGGAAGAAAAGAGAAAGCGGATATTAGGGAGACAATGACCAGTTTCTAACACAAACAGGAGGAATTATCAACGTTAAGAGTGCATATATCACTAGACCCAGCAATTCCAGTTCTAGAAATATATTCTAAGGAAATAGTCACACAACTACACAGAGATTATGCATAAGATTAATACTAGTGGTTTTAAAATATGTTCACAAATTCTTTGATACCCTTTCCTTCACAAAAGGGCTACAGTTAATGACATACTCCTAATGACTAGAATGTGGCCAAGGTGACAATGTGTGACTTCAGAGGCTGGTCATAAAAGGCCCTATGCTTCTACTTTTCTCTCTCGAATGACTGGCTACAATGGAAACAGCCACCATATTGTGAGGACACTCAATTAGCCTTGTGGAGAGACCCACATGTGGGAGAAACTAAGGGCTCCCACCAACAGCCCACATCCACTTACCAGCCCTGAGAGTAAATAGATCCTCCAGACCTAGTCAAGCCTCAGTTGACGGAAGCCCCAGTCAGCATCTGGACTGCAATCCCATGCAAAACACTGAGCCAGAAACCACTCACCCAAGAAGCTCTAAATTCCTGACTGACAAAAAATGTGAGCGATTACAGATATTTATTATACTTTTAAGCCACTAAGTTTTGGAGTATTGTGTTAGGCAGCAGTAAATAACTAGTACAATAATTATTACTTCCTGTTTGTAATAACAAAAAAGAAAGAAAGAAAATAAAAAGTTTTTAAAAAGAAACACCAGAAATGTCAATAATGGGAGGTTAAATAACCTATGAGAAATGAGAAATCCACAGTTCGGAATTTGCAGCTATCAGAAAGAGAGAGAGCTATGGCATAAAAGACCTGTATGTTCTGTCATTTACAGCTCCTTAAGACATATTAGTACATGAAAATGACAATCGGAAGAACCCTTACTGTATGGTCTCCATGACATAAAACTGCGAACAAGCTATGTGTACGTGTATATATGTGCATGTATGCAATAAGCTTATATTTGTGCATATCCGAATGTGTACTTTCACATACATGTAAATACACGGAATAGGAATGAGCGCTGCATACCAAACGGCAGGCAGTGGTTTTACCCGGGAGGAGGGAAGTGCAGTGGGGGAGGGGAGTTGCAATAAGGTGTTCACAGTTTACTTTGTAAGCTCCTGCATTGTTTCAGCCTCTTACAATGGAAATGCATTCGCACACTCCCCGTGTGATAAAACAAAGAAAATCATAAAAAGAGAAAGACAGGCAGGCCGATAGCGGAGATGCAAGCAAGACGGGATAAATAGAAGCGGCAATTTTACGTGCTGAGTCCTGACCGCTGGTATCTTATTTTACCTGTTTTTCCTTCACATCCCAACACAGGAAAGAGACACTTTGTTTTAAAGTAACGGCGAGGAACTGCCTCGCTGTGGCCTTCGCTCGCTGGGCACAGATTGCCCCTAGGGTGCTCGGAGGTGGGCGGTGGAGGGGGACCTTGGGAACTGCCCGACCTCATTCCTACGTTTTCCCGCTGGCAGTGCGCTCAGCTGTCGGAACGGGCGGGGCTGGAGTGTCTGCAGCCCAGGAAAAGGGCCGCGGTGGGGAGCCCGGAGCGGGCGCGGGTGCTGGGAGCGCTGTCGCTACTCGGGGCGCTCTGCGCTGCGCGCCCGGGGGGACAGCACACCGCCCCGGGAGTCCCCAGACGCGGGAGGTCCCTGCAGATTTCGCACAAAGGGAGGAATCGGGTCCAGGGCACAAACAAGATACTGGAGGAGGTGGCACGGAGAGGACGGATGCGGTTTGCAACCCTGCCGAGGTCGTGGCCGCTCGGGGCGGAAAAGGAGGCTCCTGTCTCTCTAGGGTCCAGCTTCACGATCACCGCGTTTGTCCTCGCCCTGCCTGGGCCTCCCCAGCGACGGGAGCTTGGGTGGGGGACCCTGGACCCCAAGCCAAGGCTGAACTGGTGGGCCAAGCCCGGGCAGCAGCCAAGTCCCCAACTCTTTCACTGCTTCTCCCGCAGGCTGGGCAGAAAACCAGGAAGTGGATGGACTCCATCTCCGCAGCCACACGCGCTCGTTTGCGCTTACTGAACGAACGGAGGTCCCTAGGAAAGTGGTGAGACCAAGGGAAAGGGGGCATTTCGCTACCCTGTTGTTAATACTTTAATAACTCCTCGTTGCCCTAAGGAGGTCACCATCAAAACCTAATCAGGAGGCACTTTGGAGGCCCTGAAATTATAAGACCCACTATCTCCATCAATGTAATTTAAAAAACAAACAACAAACAAAAACACTTCAAATGGAACTTTACCAAAAAGCAGATTTTCCCCTGTGAAATTATTTTAATAGCAACGACCAGCCCTTGCCTTGCCGCACACTAGCCTGTCCAAGAGAAGATCTAGTAAAGTTTGCAGAGCCAGTTGGGGATCTCCGCACCTTGCCTCTCACCTCTTCCTGCACAGGCTGGGCTAACCTGTTTCCAGTTCCTCCGAGGCTCAGTCCTTCCTTGAGTTTCCCACTGCCTGGCATCTCCAGAGCCAGCATCTATTTCCACTTCCCCTTCCTAGCTTTCAGTCCAGGCTGGGTTCGATGCCTTCAGTGCTTTCCCCATCACAGGACTTAGCACACAGAGTAGGAGAATATTCCTGTTTCAGCACCCTGTCTGTGCTGAGGGCTCAGAAGGCAGAGACACCTTGTCTGTTTTTGCTTACAGGTATGTTCTCGAACCTAGCATGTGGACTGACACACCCTTTGCTCAAATAAATACATCAATATTTGAAATTAACCATTTACCCATAGCAAAACATGTAGTACAGAATTAAAATGCATAGTCCATTCCGGCCTATGCACTACATTCATCCCATCACAGTATATTCAGCTTCTCAGCATTTATTGAGCACCTCCAAATGTGCTAGACAGGTAATACTCAATACACATTAGTTTCCTCCGTGCTAAAATGGACTTTGTGTCCACGTAACTTTGCTGGAAACCTGAAGGAAACCAATTATTCTGCCCTTTCCCTGGGTGTTTGATTGAACTCGGCGTGTCCGTTATAACCATAGAAATATCTCCAACAGGCAATGCCAGCAGGATGAGATCTGCCAAGTGTTTAAAGTTTAGCAGGAAAGCTTTTTGCAAATGTCAACACTACCACTCTGTTTCCTGCAAACCGGCATTCTAATCAGCAGGGCTGCCTTTTCCAGCTCATTGAGCAACAACATAAAAAAAAATCCCAGCATAATCATTTCTCTAGGAGAAATATACCAAAAGGCAGAGAGGATGCACTAACAATCACAGCTACCCACTATGTGCAAGGTGCCATGGTTACTGCCTTAGTTATGGTGCCTCCAATCCTCACAACAAAGCTGACAAATGGGGAAACTGAGGCTTACAGATGTCACACTTCTCCAACTGAGGCCTGAACTTGAGTATTTTCCGTAGCACCCCACTTCCTCTGGGGGAAAAAATTACCATTGTGCCTAGTAGGATATAATGTCTTAGAGTGGTAGGGACTTCAGATACTGGTCGTAGGAAAAGAGAATGACAGTTCTTCTCATGCCAGGGTTTCCTGGGACTTATATCTTCTTGCCTTCCTCCTCACTTCCCCTTAGAGGCCAGGCGTAGTGGCATAATGATTTTGGAAGTTTTTGAGCTGAAGAAGGGAAACATTTTCTTCCTTTTATTTAAAGGCAGCTGTTAGAGTGTTTGCATTTTGGGTTCCTGGCATAGCAGCCGGTAGTCTTGATGGGATTTCAAAATGAAGTTAATAATGGAAATTATACACTGGGGGCTTTCCAAAGAAACTGCGAAGAGAGAATGGCTTGTGCTAGGTGACTGAAAGTGTTGCATCAAATTATCACAGCTGGATGTTGAGGCCAGGCCCAGCTGAAATGTTACAGTAGGGGTCACCTCTCAGACTTGGCTCTGTGCAGGAAGCATATCCAAAGAGGAGCTACATCCAAGGCAAAGGTATAAAGCCAGACGCAGAAGACACAGTACCTGGGTTAGCTGTCTGTCTTTCCCGGGGTGTAGGAGAGATATTTCATCTTGGACTCAGGCAAGCAGCTGCATAGAAGAGCCTGATTTCTGAGCAAGAGTGGGCAGCAAGTTGCCAATTCTAACCTATCCCCAAGGCAACTATCCCCAAGGCAGTGTAGCCCTAGGTTCTCACCCGGCTGGCCACTAGCATCATCTGGTGAGCTTTGAAATACAGAGGCAGGACTCATCCCAGATGGATGAAATCAGAATCCAAGGGAAAGGGATCCAGTGTCACATATTTTCACAGCTCTCCATGTGATTCTAGCTTGCAGCCAAAGTTCAAAAGCTCTGATACAGCCTCGGTGTCCTGTGATCACAAGAATTACTGGAGCACTTCCTAAAATAGTTTTGTCCCGGCCTCTCTGCTGTAGATCTTGATTCAGTGGGGCTAGCAGGGGCCCAAGATCTCCCTCCTTAATGAGCTCCCTAGTAGTTGTTATGATCAGATAAGCTTGGGTTCCCACAAGTGTAACAAAACGTTACATTCGCATATCATCATCACAGTCAACACTTCTGACATGCTACGTTTTTAATTTGTATGTACATCATTGTATCTCAACCATCATTTGACTGTAAGCTCCAAGAGGGAAAGGACCTTGTCGTATTTACTGGGATGTTCTCAGTATGGAAAAGAATGCAGGCAAATAGTGGGAATTCTGCAGATATGTGTCGAATAAATAACTGCATTTTTGTTTGGCATTTTGTCACTTCTGCTTTGTGAAACAAGTTAAGAGTGAGTTGTAACTTTGATAGAAAATGGAAATATATACAATAATTTTATTTCACTTCCCTTTACAGATCTAAAGTCCTGCTGTTAAAAACAAACACTCCTTCCATGTGGATCTTGATTGCCTTTAGTCATCGAGAGTCTTCAGGAGATCTGAAGACCCAGAACAAACCAGAAGTGTTGAGGGGGAATAAATGTGCAGAAATATCTGAGAGAAAACCCCCTACCCTTAGACAAATTTTTCTTCTGAAATTTTCTGCTTCATTGCAAGTTTTATGTTGCCAGTTAAGCTATAGGGCCTAGATAGAAAATGATAAAGTGTTTTCAGTAAAGTTGATTAAACTGCATGCTTTTATTTATGCATGTTCAGAAAATGTTTATTGTGGAACTACCATCTTCCAGAAAGTGCCAGTGAAAAATAGCACACAGTCTTGCCCTCGGTGACTAGCTTTCCCAGTGAGTGGGAAGCTAGCCATGGCACCAAGCAGTTACAGTGCAGTGTGATAACACGGGTCATCAAACCCAAGATGCCTTCTGCTGTAAGATGCATAGTTAATTTATGTACCACGAAGAAAAATGCTGCCAATTGAACCATGACATGTCATGGATTTTATTACCTATTCTAATTTCAGAGATGTGAAAATGTGACGGGGTGGAAGGGAGGTGAGGGATGTGCATTTTATTTTATTTTATTCTTTATTTTGAGAAGCAGAGTCTCTTTCTATCACTTACCGAGGCTGGAGTATAGCGGCACAATCTCAGCTCACTGCAGCCTCAACCTCGTGGGCTCAAGTGATCCTCCCACCTCCTGAGTAGATGGGACTACAGGCATGAGCCACCATGCCCAGCTAATTTTTTAAACTTTTTGTTGTTGTCGTTGAGACAAGGTCTCACTCCAGTGTAATGGCTTGATCTCAGCTCATTGCAACCTCTGCCTGCCAGGCTCAAGCAATTCTCTTACCTCAGCCTTCCAAGTAGCTGGGACTATAGGTGCATGCCACCACGCCCAGCTAA